TTAATAAGACTCTCCCACTCAGTATGTGTCAAATTGGCATTATTACATGAGGACAGTTACTGCGATGACTTAATGCATGTATGTTTGTCTTGGGTTGTGTTTTTTTCCTGTATTATAAAGAATTCAAGCAACAATTTCTTGACTCTTAGGAGATTCTTTGCATTTGTAAGCCATGAGAACAAGATTGTGATGCTAAATTAAATTTGGTTCCATTTATTTTATTTAAAGCCTTCCATACCATTACATTGTCCTTATAAATGTAGGCCTCAGCCTTCCAACATTTTTCATGGATTCCTAGTCTCTAAAAAAAGAGCAGTCTCTTTGAAGTTCAGCTCTTTGGAGGCAGAGGTTAGCTCAAAGCAAGGAATACTCACATAGCTATGTATATATTTAATTTTAGAGGAAAGTTTAGGTGAAGTTGCTTACATTTGTTATCATTAAAACCGGTTACAGTGGGAGGGAAAAGAGACACTGGAAGGGGCATAGGTGCAAAAATCACTAGTGTCATTGTTACCTGTTTTGCAGAAAGACTTCTGAAAAAGAGAGAAAACATGCCTGTGGAATAGAAATGTTAATTTCTTGATAATCTTTATAAAGTAACTCCTTATCAGTATATGAGGGTGGGGGAGGGGATGGAAATGTATCAAAAAGACCTGGCTAGTGGGTGGGGGGAAAGCTTATTTGCTTCTTAGTAACTTCTGCTTCAAGGTACTGTGTTCCTTGTTACAGAAACTGATTTGAAATACCTTTCTTTTTCATTCTGGAGCCATTTAGACCCTCTGGCATCTAAAGCTACATCATCGATCCATCATGGGAAAGTCACATTCCAAAGCTGCTGGTTGTAACCTGTCCTGTGATCTGCTGAGTACAAAGCTGCCTAAGCTCTATTACAAACTTACAGTTACAACTTTGCATAATTAATGTCTTTTTGATAATGCTCTGGAAATGTATCATACTATAATATTGCTAAAATATTTAACTATAGCTGTGCCCGGTAGAAGTTACTTAAATAAATGCTGTAGGAATGGCTCAAGATGTTCATACACAAGTGGAGGTGTTCTCCTAATAATAGGTGTTACAAGAGCAGTCATTCACTTAAAAGATTTTCTACCTGAACCTGCTGTTTCACATCCTTCACTTTGTCTGCTTGTTAAAAAAGCTGTTTTCTGTAAAATCGCACATCTTTCCATTTGATTTCCTGTGTACATCTGCTTGCTTTGGAGACAAGGAACAGCCTTTTACTTGTAAATTAATTGCTCTGGTTACCGTGTTAAGATATATTTGAGAATGTGGACCTTAGTAGTTAAAGAAGTGAGGACATGTGGTGAAAGAGATTTGAGTAGAGACTAACTAGAATATGATGATGGAGTAGAAAGTATGCAAAGATAAGCTTTCCTTGAGATTTCAGTAATGACTGTGAACTATAAAAATGGAGATTAGAGTATTACTGTGGATACCAGATTTCTATTAACTTCTTGAGACATTAATATTTAGGATAGATTTGAGTGGAAAATGATCTTCAAATAAATGATAAGATATTTAAAGCCTGTACATTTGTATTGCGAAATGATCCAGTATAGTAATGAAAGAACAGAGTAGGATTTGAATGATTCAGCTTTGTTCTCAACAAGATTTTAATGCACTTACCTGTGTTCTATTTAGACTTTTAAGAGACATGTATGAAACAAACATCAGCAAAATAGGATTTTTATTAGGGTTTGACATGTTAACAAGGCATTTCTGAAATCCTCACTAGATTATATAGCAAGAGCTGGTGAAGGGAGAATGTGAGGACCTGACTGAAATTAGGATTCCATTTGAGAAAAATACTGAGTATCTTCACTGAGTCAGCTCAGTCAGAAACACAGAAGCCACAGAGTAGCAGATATATGAGATAGGCAAGTCTGTGGGGCACAAGAGCAAGAGGGATACAATCATCTCTTCTGTTTACTTAAGGTTGTTTTAAGTATTTGTCCTTCATAAGTAGTGAACGAAGAAGAAGATGGGATACAGGAAAACTTGAGTGGCTAGAAGAGCTGGCTGACTTTCTCTGATGCCTAGTGATTAGTTCTAGGTATTTTTTCCTGCAAGCTGATTGACCTTGTTCTCTATGCTTTGCACAAAGATACTTAATTGGGAATACCTGACTGATGTTATATTTTCTACTACGTTGGTCAGAACTGTGGCAGGTGTTCTGGGTTTAATCCATAGTGTGTCAGCATACCCTGTGTTTATCATGCAGCTTTGGAATAGACTGCAAGACTTTCCCAAGGAGACACCATAAAAAACCTCTGTGTGGAATGTGTAAAACCAAAAGCATTTTTTTTTTTTTACTGATTCTGTTCTTTAGCAGTCAGCTTCACAAGTTTGACCAAAGATGACATACATAAATAGATTATTATGTCCAGTTCTGGGCCTCTCACTTTGGGAAAGACATTGAGGTGCTGGAGCATGACCAGAGAAGGGCAACAAAGCTGGTGAAGGGTCTGAAACACAAATCCTGAGGAACTGGGGTTGTTCAGCCTGGAGAAGAGGGGTGGCCTTATCAATCTCTACAACTACCTGAAAGGAGGTTGTAGCTAGGTGGGTGTCAGTCTCGTCTCCCAGACGAGTAGTGACAGGACAAGAAGTCATGGTCTCAAGCTGTGCCAGGGAAGGTTGGACATTAGGAAGAATTTCTTAACAGAAAGAGTGATTAGACACTGGAATGGACTGCCCAGGGAGGTGATGGAGTCACTGTCCTTGGAGGTGTTTAAGGAGAGACTGGACATGGCACTTTGTGCCATTATCTAGTTGACATGGTGGTGTTAGTTCATAGGTTGGACTTGGTGATCTCTGAGTTCTCTTCCAACCTGATTCATTCTGTGATTCTGTGATTATTTACTGCTTTTAAGACCTTTTTGGCAATAGCGATTTTGATAATCTTGGAGAACCCAGGAGAGTAAAATTCAGGGCACTAATTGACTAGATTACTGGTTTACAGAGAGTGAGTTCTGCCATGCCATGGTGGTGGGACAGAACATACTGCAGAATTGTCAAAGACACTAACATTCAAAAACATGCTGAACTCATTACTTGAGTTCTGTGCAGTGAGGGCCTTAAAGCAACAAGGAGTAGAAGATTTGATAACTTGCATTAACTTGGAAGCTTTTATTCTGTCCATCTGAACCACCTGAAAGAGAAGAATGCTTTGTATTTAAAGAATAACAGTGGATTTTTCATTTTTGAGGAAAGGATTTGTGACCAAGGGTAAGGCAAAATCAGTGAGGTTTCTGTTCCAGATATTTCTAACCTCTCTTGAGGAATAAATCTGCTGCCTTGAACAAAAGGTCAGTGTCTCCCTGCAGGGAAGAGAAGTTTAGATAAATGGTACCGCTTAAGGATTAGGGGTGCCTTTGAATAAAACCTCTTAAAGTTTCTGAAACCTGGTTTGTTTTGGTGTGGGGTTTTTTGTTGTTTGTTTTTTAAAGAAGCAGAAGAAAGGACAAAATTCATGTGCAAAGTTGAAATTTTGGGATGTATGGGGTACCATGTAGAAATTCTATATAAGAACAGGTGAAGAATTATGAAGAAATACCACAGGCTTTGTCAGGTTTTTCTCAGGAGCTGGTCCTTTCTGAGAACAAAAATATGGCAGGGGATAAGATATTGCTGATCAGTCTGAAAACTTGAACTGCTCTGATGAATAAACAGTCCAATTATAGTTACCTGTTCTGTTTGGTACTATGAACATCATGATCTTAGAGGACTTTTCCAACCCAAATGATTCTTTGATTCTATGCTGCTACCTGTTTCATTGAATGCTGCTGTTATTCAAAGGGTAACTGCTTAGTATTTGGAAGAGAAACTTCCCAAAACAGATCAATACCATCTTGGGCACCTAGGACATAATGTGCTTCTGTAGGAACAGTGTTTCATGGGTGATTTCTTCCTGATTTTTAGGCTGGGACAAGACGTGTATAATTTCATAGGAAACCAGAGAGTAAGAACACTTTGAAAATAGAATTGGATCAGCTCACTGATGGCTAAGTAAAACTGGTTTACATTATTGCTCTAGTTATTGGAGGAAAAGTTTGGCAAGTAAAGTGACCAGAGCTCAACAGCAGACTTAAATATCTGGCTTAACATGTGGTATTCTAAAGGTTTTTAGATAAGTTGCATGTGTCACTTTAGAAAATACAGAATTTGCCACTCCAGGCAGGATAAGCCTCCAGCAAGGACTTTTTGCCTGACTTGAAGCCAGGAAATGGACTTGGGAAGAGGAAAGGAAGGGAAGGATCACATAAAAATGGAAACTCTGCTTGGCAGATGATATTATGGATCCAGGTTATCTCTTGAACATCTTTCAGCTTGATTCAATGCTGAGGTGACAGCATTTCCTTTATCTAGACCCATTGTGTTAAGATTAGGAAATGGTAATTTTAATATTTTTGCAGTAGTAAAATACACAAAGCACAGGAGACAGCTTCAGGAAAGGATGTTCTTTTGAGTATGTCTCCTGTTCTTCAGAATGTCTGAATCCTGTGAGCTGTGCAATATAGATGACAGTACATTTTTCCCACAACAGGTTGAAAAAAGTGTGTACTCAACGCTGGAAAATAATTATAGTGTCTAGCTGAGAAATCTGTGCATACTGGAGGATGTGGATACTGGGAGGATATGAGTAGTGGTTCTGTGTGGACCACTCCAAGTCCAGGATGGCTCGTGCTAAATCAGAGCTAAGGTGTTGACTGCTCTGTTGGACAGCTGATGTCTCTGTGCTGTGCCTCTCAGCAGTCTTACTTGCTTGGCTGCACTGTGTGCTGCTTGGCAGTCTTACTTGGCTCTATCTGTGTGTACAGGATATGCAGCATCAAGTGGACGAATCTGCTCTGAACCTTGCATGCAGAGGTGCCTTGTGCTGGCACAGGACTCTTGAGATGTAGGTAGATTTGGGGTTGGCTCGTGGAAAAGTTGTTGCAGTTGCCTACATGGTGCTCTTTGTTTCCAGACTGTAGCCGATGAACCCTAGGGCTGGTGTGACAGGTAAGTAGCTCATGTCTGTCAGAATTGGAGCTCATACTCTGAGTAGTGCAGGAGACATTAGACTGCTTTGTAGACTCATGATGGCTGCAGAAGCAGCACTTTACAAATGCAGCTGTTCTCTGTATAAATTAAATAAATTCAGCCAAATCCCAAGATGCTTCAGCACTAAGCCAACTTGGTTGTCTGCATGTTTGACACAGAACTGAGGTGACTTCTGCTGCATGTGTTGATCATTTAGTATTGTACATAGGTAATTTTTGTTTATTTTCATTCTCAAAATGAATCTGCTTTGTTGTAATGAGACCAAGATACTCACTGTATCAAATTAGTCCAGATTCTTTTAACATAGATTATTGGCAAACACCAGGTGAGGGAAATTAAGGAAGCATGTCCTGCTGTGAGATGTCCAAAATGACTTAGGAGAAGCAAGGTATTGTGTTGAGCTCTGGGAGACAGAAATGACTTGGGGCAAAAGTTCCAGATATCATTTGGTCAGTTGCACTGTGTGTATTCTTGAATGAGTATTTTTCAACTTTAGGCATGTAAATTGCTGTGTTATAAAGATTTTATTTTTTTTAAGAATGCCAGCAATGAAAACTAGTCTGTCCTTCACAGTGTTAAATATTTGCTTCCTTTGAGAGCATCAATGTTGAATGAGTTTCTGCACACAAAACCTAAAGCAAAGACAAGTCTCTGCAGCCTCTGTAAATATACCTTCTAAACCAACAGCTAATCAAATCCTGTAAGCTAAAATGTAGTCACATCCTGCGACGAGAACAGAGTTAAAATGATGACATCCTTATCATTTAACATTTATGGGAATTATCCTTGTATATTTGTGTCAATGTCTGCTGGCTTTTTAAAAACAAAAAATGTTCCTTTTCCTGATTTTTTTTTTAAAGGAGACTATGAAGTCTGTGGATATTTATGTGCAAGATCTTGAAAATGACATTGGAATTAGACAAATAATAAAACTGTAATGGATGAGGTTGAAATAGAAATGTCGGTAGGAGTATGTCTGATACTAACTTAAAAGAAAGATAACACTAAAAATGAAAACAAGGTGGTAGAGAAGGAGAGGTGTAATATTTGGAGCTGTGATGTTTGGTGATCCCGTGGAAGCTCAGTAAATCAGTACCTTGGTATGGGTACAGTGCTTAAACCATAAAGTTCACTTCTGTTGGGAGGAATTGATACCTTTTTCTTCCGTAATAGTGTATGCTTCTCTTTATTAGCCTTCAAGTGACTGAAGTGGAATGATTAGATAAAAATGCAAAGCTTTTAGGGGCTGACTGAATAATATGTATTGTATTTACGAATGTGTCTTGTAGTTCTGGATTGTTCAGTTGTGCTGGTCCAATAGTGGTCCAGTGGTAGAGGCAAAAATCCTTGTAATCTTAAAGCAGATTCTAGAGCTTCTTTATGAACACAGGTTATCTCAGGTACTCTTGAATGTGCTTAAAAAGCAAATTACCATAAATACAGAGATGAAATAAAAGGCAGTGTTAACATTGTCTGTACCTGCTTAGTCTGTTACAGCCTTTTACAAGGAGTCTTTAACTAACTGGTTTTGAAAACCAGTAGTAATTTAAAATGTTGTATTTTGGCAAATCATCAAAATCAATTTCCTGTTACAGGAATAGTTTCTCTTATTTTTATCATCTCTGTGAGAAAGCTGTTTCTGTATTAATTCCTTCATGCTTGAATGGAGGATTCATGATTCAGTTACCACTAAGTCATGAACAATTCTATCAGGTTAAACCTTCATGAGTGGTAGAGTTATCTCCTGGTGCCTGCATGGCTTGCAAAGTGCTTGATTGCAGTTCAGTAACCCCTTTTGAGTACCTGGGGGAAAAATAATTGCACGCTTAAAAGACACTCCTAGTCTTGAGAGATACAAATTACTTTTTTTCCTCATTTTAAAAAAAATATAAGAAAATTGAATACTTCATTTAATAAATCTGGAAGTGACAAAGCAGATATTAAAATTTTGAACATAAATATAGCTGATAGACAGCTATAGAAATAATTGACAGCAAAAAGATGGATGGCTGTTTAATGGAAGAAATATAATAACCAAGTGGCATACCTTGTCACAGCAAAACCACACAGAAACTCTTGATTCATTTTTAGTGCATCTTCCAATATGTGATTTCTCTGTGGGTTTTTGGTCTTAACTGACTTCTTTTCCTTGTTGCAAAGATGCAGATTTTTTTTCAGTCTCATTTGTTTTGTGGTATTAGAAAAACAAGTTCTAAGCCTAGGACTTATTACAAAGCTTAATTTCCTATCTGTGCTCTAATCGAAATAATCTAGTTTGCCCTCAGGAAATGAAATTGTTGTAAATTGAGAACTTCTAAAATTATTTGGCTTAGTTTTAATTTTTTTCCCCTCTCTGCCTCTTTTTCTGTAATCATGGTGTTGTCCACAGTCCTGGGCAACAATCCTTTCTGTGTTGAGAAGTTCACTCCTGTCTTACTTCATAAGTAGTATGTCAGATTATTCTCTCAGGTCCCTGCATAGTAATGATGGGATTGTCACTTGACTGTCATGACAAACTATCCCTATCTCCTGGAGCAAACTTCAAGCCAGATCATCAGTTTTGTTTGTATATCACAAGTGTTTTTCACCTGAAATTTTAAGCTTGTGCATCAGTTACACCCTGCTGATTCTTGCTTTGTTATGAACTACTATGACAAAAGGTCAAAACAATTCTGAGACAAGTTTTCTCTAAAATGTCCTATGTTTACATACACATTTGTAGTCCATTGGGTCCTTTTAGTGGTTATGGACTCAATACAGTGTGTGCTTTGCAGGGTCCTAGTTGCACTGCTCTCCTGAAAAGCCTGTAGTCATATAATTGCCAGTTGATACAAGCTGTGTAGTTTTTACTAAGTGATTTGTTCCTGGTCTTCATCTCTTCATGAGTTAGCATTGGCTTAGTTCATGAATGAGTAAGCAGTAGTCTGGTTTTAACCCCAAAGTTCTATTGTGTTGACAATTTTAATAGTCTTTGTTTTAATTTATTTTTATTCATTAAGAAATAGCTGCAAAGACCCATGAAATCTCAGCTGATTTATATTAACTGCATTTCCCACACTTTATGAATTCTTTTAATTTGGTTTTCACTCTGTAACATGAACTATTGCAATCATTACTGAAAATATAACTTGTTAATGGGAGCTGCCTCCATTTCCTGCTTTTGTTATTTTTCCCATCACTTCACCTAAGCAAGGATTGTGTGGTCCTTTGGGTTGGAATAAACAGATGTGTATATGAGTGGATAGCCTCTGTTGCTTTAATAACTGGTTTGTATTTTCAGAGTTATCACAATGCATATAATCTGTGCTTTTTCTATTTTAAAAAACCCAACATCCCAACCCAGCTAACAAAACCCAAGAGCTTGGCAGGGTGAACATTATTTTGGAGAAGAAATTTGCATCTTCAAAGTCTTAATAGAGTAACAGAACCTTCCTTTTTTTATGTCATGACTGAAATTTCTTAATTCCAAAATTACAGAATGAATACTTACACTTGCATTGGAAAGAGTAAAATGTTTCGTTTCAAATTAGAATCATTGTATTGCAATATGAAACAAAAATTAAGCCATTTCAAAATATTTCAGAAAATGTGAAAATAATCAACTGTTTTGCCTGCTCTGCACTTCTCACACTGGTTTTTAGTTTGAATTGAAACTTGGAAATGAAACCTATGCTGCGTATACTGATGGAATATGTTTGGAAATTTCTGTTGGTATCTTTCAGAGTGTATGTTTCCTGACAGCTATATCCTACTAATATTAGTGCAGTTTATTTTTTTCCAGTGAATAACTTGATAAAGATGATACATGATGGGATTTATTATTGCCTTCAATGAATTTGTTTGAGCTGAAAATACTAAAGTTTCATTCTGTAAGGCCAGCAGTGGTTTTAGCTGTGATACCTCAAAGCTTTCTCCTTTTTGTGATATGGATTGTCTATGACTGTATTGGAGTACACTCTAAACAGCATTTGGGGGGCTGGGAATGGGTGGTAAAGTATTTTCTCTGGAAGCTTTATCTTTTGGAGTTCACTCTCCAAGGTCTCTGTCTGGATATGACAACTGGGAGAAGAGGATGCATTGCAAAGCCTTGTCTCTAAATCCTGTAAAATAATAAAAAAAACCCAATCTCATTTGTTGGTAATGCAAGTAAGTGAAACAAAAGGCTGAAATGGGTTTAAATTTTATATGCTCTCTTAATGAAGTGTTAGCAGCAAGCTATGTTTTAACAATCTTTCTTTTCGTAGTTATTGTAATGTTAATAACTGAAGTGTAGACAGTTTGAGACATGTTGTAAAGTCTAAGCATTATGCTTGACTGTGTATATGTGCACACAGGAAACCTCGACCTGTCTCTCAGCTGGTTGCACAGCAGGTTCCTCAGCAATTCGTGCCCCCTACACAATCAAAGAAAGAGAAAAAAGACAAAGTAGAAAAGGAAAAAAGTGAAAAGGAAACAACAAGCAAAAAGAACAGTCATAAGAAAACCAGGTAAAAAAATTAGAAACTTCTGCAGTGTTGATAAAATGTAATTTATAAGCAAAAATAAGAAAATGTCCTTTGAATTTACTGCTTTGTAAGTGCTGCTGTGGCAAACTCTCAACCATAAGGCTAAATATTTGTGTGTGAAGTTTCATTGTTTAGGATGCCTATAAAATGCAAAGCCCACCTGCAGTGTGCCGTCGTGGCCAGAAGGTGGAGATCAGCTGAACAGAAAGTCTTTTGAAGGGTTATTAAGGGTGTCCTTTTAAGGATTACAGAAGTATTTCTCACACCATGTAAAACTGGTGATAGGCAAATGGATGCTACTAATCTCTGGAAGAGAGAGGAGACGGGAGTGACTAGTTTTCATACAAAATAGTGCTAGGGAGAGAGAGAGAGAAAACCATTACCAGACTGCAGAAAAGTGGGCAAGTAACTTGGTTAATGATAGCCTTGCAGAACCCTTCAGCTTTGAAGGGCTGAACTAGGGTATTAATGTGACAGGATAAGGTATGTGTATTACCTGGGAATAAAAATCTGAGCTACATCTGGGATACAGAAGGAAATCTTAGACTCATAGAACTGAAAACCTGAAATATTACAGTATTACAGTACAGATATTACAGTACAGATAAGCAGTTGTAAAAACCTTGATCTTGCTGTAAGACGGAGGGTGAAAACTGCTAAACAAAAGCAGCAGGTGTAACTCCTAATTCATCACAATCTGAGCATAAAGTTACTGTGGCAAGAATGTTGAGCCAAAAAACTGAGAAGTAGTCAGTAGTCTAAGCAAATGTGGGAGGAACTACTGATATTATTTTTTTTTTTACCTGTTCTTTTGGAAGCACTCCAAAGTAGCCCAGTTATCCTTTTGGATTAGTTATGCAGAGAAGTAGCAGATGCTTCTCTCGTGTCTGAAATAAGATCATCAGGATCAGAACCAGGGAGAGACTGAGAGTCAAGAGAGAGAGTAGTCACTAAAAAAGTCATGATTAAGATTAAGGACACGGAGACATTCTTTCCTATTTTTTTTCTTCTTTTTTTTTTAATACTCAAATTTACTATCTTACTTCCTGCAACTGAAGTACTTCAGTTATGAAGCATTTGACATTAGCATAGTGAGTTTTCATTAAGCTAATTAAAAATTACAAATTGAAATATTGATGGCTAAATTGCAATAATATAGTAAAAATGCAAAAGTGAGATAGG